GGTACAGAGGCTTTCCAGATCCTGAGAATGAAGAATCCTTTCTCTACTCTTATTCAATACATACATTTGTTTTGTATTGAGAAATGAGTTCTTAAAGCTAAAGTGTGATTTTCAACACTACTGCTAAAAATTCTCATGCTTAACTAAGGGTGAGGGTCCTAAATGTGGAACTTCAGCCTCTAAACTGTGGCCAAGAAAATTACAAAGACAAATCATAGTAGCATATAATATATTAGGTTTTATTGAGCCATACTGTAATTCTTTGAAGTATAGAGTTATGTTAGCAGAATGAGCTGAAAGGAAAAAAACAAATCAGTAGGGAATGTATTTTATAGTAAATGCTGTTGCAAACTACAATATGCTTTCTGGGACTGAATATATAAAAAGTTTGTTTGCACAGTTTAATGATGTTCACATTTTTCTTAACATTTTCTGCTGCTTTTTAAACTGGTATTTGTACATACTTTAGAAGCTGAGATGCTGCCCAAAGCCTCAAAGGACCCAGAACCTTCCAGGGATTGTAAGACTGTGAAGTCACCTGCTATGTTCCTTGGTCACCACAAGGTCTTACTCCACATGGGTGACCAAGGAACATGTTTAACTTGTCCAATGTCCTTATGTCTGCATTCTCCATTTTTCTGTTTTCCAATCGCATTACTGTGAAGTAGGAAAGAGCCTGTCCCTCTATGTACGTTTGAACTAAACTTAGGATTCAAGTGTAGGAAAGAACAGGCATTAAGCATCTGGAACCTTTAACTATTTAGCCAATGAACATTAATTCCTTTGGTTGCGAGAGTCTTTAAATAGTGAAAGGTTTTAAATGAACTTGGGACCCCCACCATCGGGACACCCAGGGTGAAGGAAGGTAACAGAACACTACTGGATCCATGGATAGCGCCTATCTTCTGCTTAACCTGTCTCTCTCTCTCTTTCTCTCCCCTCTTTTCCATTTCATTCTATCTCTCTACCTCACATTTTACAATTAAATAAAATCTGTACTAATGACTTCATCATATGATCATGTTTGCACCTTAATTTAGGTAGAGACATCTCTAATAATTGGATCTTAACTCTTATTTTCGTATAGCAAATTTTCATCTTTCTCTGATTTTTTTATATGGTGACAGAAGTAATGAACTTAAAAAGGGAAAGGGCATATGCTCATGTTATTCAGCATAACTACCCACACCATCCAATTGTGAGCTTTGCTTTCGACATGGGACAAATGGCAGGGTCTGAGGCAATGCCCAGGCATGGTCAGGGATTGGGATCCGTCACAGATACAGCAGCAGGCACTTTGCATGCAAGTGTCCCCTTGGGGGACTTGGGATTGTTGCTGAAAGGAAGCAAGCTGTGCTGCGCCAGTTAACCCCTAGGCCAAAAAATGGTCCTGGGCACTTCTTAATTACTAATAGAGATGTCGTTTTCAGAGCTATAGGAGGGATTTTAATTGCTCTACCTGTCGCCAAGCCCAATTATTCATTGTGTCTTCAAAGTCTTACTTTGTGAAGTTCTCTGTAACAACATGTAATAATTTTGCCTTTTGTTGCACCTTTTTTACTCTCATAGAATTACTTTTGTGCCACCATTAAAGGTTAACACTGCTTGAGATTTTATTTAATTTTTCTTCTAAGTAAATTTAAGTTCTCATCTCCTTTTAATAGCTGATTTTTGCAGGTGGAAAAAAGGTATGAGCTTTTAAACTGGCATTAATTCACAGAAAAGGAACGTTATCAGTGAGAGTTGTGAAAGTTAAATTCACAGATATTCTCCTTATTATGCATGTATTATATAGATCAATATTATTTGATAAGAACCTGCATTTATTTTACCCCTTGATTTATGGAAGAAAATGTAATGATAGTTATCAGATTATCATTGCATGTCAGAAGCAAAGGTTATTATGGTTTTGGGAGGAAAAAAATTATGGTATTTTGGAAAATTCTTTCAGAATATTGAATTTTAGATACAGTTTAGTTTATCAAGTTTAAATTTCAGCTACTGCAAATTTCTGTAATTGAAATTCGCTAAATGTAAGTAAAACTTCAAGAAACTTAATTTAAGATAGGCATAGTACTTCAACATAACATTGCTAAGTAGCTAAAGCCACCCTAGCCATCCATTTAAATTAAACAAATATCCACGTCGTCTTTCTGTCCTTCCGAAACAATCTCATGTGTTCTTATCGTTTATTTAAACCTGCTTCTGAGGCCAGAAAATTTTTAACATGCAATATTTTTCAGCTTTTAGAAATTAGCATTCTTAAAATACTTAAAGTTTATACCCACTCATGTTAATTCTGGAATTTTTTTTCCTGAAATAACAATGTAGAAATCAAAAGAGTCAGGAGAGCATTTAATGGCTGGGGAGAAAGGGGAACTTTACTTTGAAGGCATAGTAGGAATATGAAGAACATTGACAGAAATTTCATACAAGAAAATGTCCCAAATGAAATTAAAATTAAAATCTGCAAGCCAATACATCAATTCCTACAAAAGTAGTCTGGTTTTCCTGAAGACTTACACCAATCTGGACTTTTTCACTCCAGTGCTATATTTACCAGTGTGATGGTCAGTTTTAAACTACTTCTTCATAGCTTCCAAGCTTTTAGAATATCCAAAATGATTCTTTGCAAAATTTTGCATCCAGTCTCTTTTCTAAGAATATTATCACTGTGCTTTTCACTCTAGGAGGTGATCATAAGCCTCACTCTTGTTTCTGAGAAAAGGAGTTACGAAATCCTATAGGAAATACTTCAGTGTTCTCTGGGTGTTGATGAACGCATTAAAATGGTTGTAGAATAAATACTGAATATTTATACAGCATCTGGGAATACCAGACCAAAAGACACATCCTTTCCATAGGTAGGATATACATCCTTACCTTGTTAAAGGTAAACTTCAGCCATAGCAATTTAAATTAATTTAATTTGCAATTAGGATAGTAATTTAAAAATACAAATAATATATAAATATTTCAACAGTGATTCGAGAGGGTGTGTATGTCCAGGCTTGACCCAGAGTAGGACAGACAGCATGTTAGCATGGGTCTGAATGTTTGAAGTTGAGTGTGAAATGAAACACTGTCAAGAATAGGCTGCTTTCCTAAATTATGTCTACTGATTCTTCATGTGTTTTGTTATTATTAATGGTCTTATTCTGCCTAATCTTAAAAAAGGTTCTGAGGATATAATCTGCCTTCAGAGATAATTAATAAAGTGTCTTAAATGTAGAAGTTTCTATCAAAAAAACCCTACAGTCTGGATAAACCTAATTCAACATATTAAAGAAGTTAAATCTATATATTTTAAAAGCAATCCACATAGATAACATATAAGAAGAAAATATGCTTCACATTATTAAAGTCTTTATAATACTCAAAGCCCTTATAATCACAATTATAATCTAATTAATAATCTATAATCTACAACCAAAACTGATCAACCTTTACAGGAATGTGATATAAATTTATCTGTGAAAAAAATATGGTGGAGAGAGGGTATTTGAGTTTCTTTGGAGTTCTTCATTTTTCCCCACCTCTCAGGTCATTCATTATTCCCTCTCTCCATTTTAGGACTACAGATTTAATTTTTTTTTTTTAATTTTTTTTTGTGTTCTTTCAACCATTTATCAGAAATACTATAGTCATATATGGAATAAGAAATATTATAATCAAGATGGAAGAGCCAAGAAGAACATTTCATTCACAATAAATATGGAAAACAATTGTCCCATAATTTGTAGAAATTTACCCCTATTTTCATTTTATTTATATAAAATTCAATAGTGGAATCATTCTAGAAATAAAGGAACAAAATTCAAAAATATATCACCTAAAAATTTTTGTTAAACTACAGGAGATAAGGACCCATAGTTTTCTTGAAACTAAAATTACATCATTCACATATAATGACATTTGCAAAAAACTACACTAATTCTTTCTTTTAGAAAGGAAGTGAATGCCATTGCTGAACTCATTCTGTCAATTATAGGACTGCAACAAGACTGGAGATTCAGTATTTTATATAATGCGATTGTATGGCTTAAAAAGTGTTTGGGCATTAAACCAGTTCTGTAGCAGAAACTAAGTTAAAGTAAACTGAACAACATGCTCTGCAAAACCAGACATCTTCAGGAGCAGGTATTATTCCATTTCACACAATTTAAATTTTTTTCATTTTCCACTAAAACAAATTGCACCATCAGATTGATACAAAATAAACCTCAGTATCTTCTGTTTAATCTTCCCCTATGTGAACAAATGCTGAGTTACTATAAACAATAACCTCAGAGACTTCAATTATCCATTCTACTTTAAATATTTCCTCAGTTTATTTGGAGACTATATATGTATAGATAAAAGGCAAGACCAAAAGGTCTAAGTATATCCCTAGCAACCCAGTTGATTCTAGACAGTATTTTTCAGCCTTAATTTCTCTGACCTCAGTTAACCTGTATACAGGTATCTTTTTTATACTTAAATATATATCAAAGATCAGATTACAAATATTTTTGTGACAGTTATCAGATAATCTCCTTTATTAATTCTGGAATGTAGCCTGTGCACTCAAAGATCTTTCCTTGCAATATCAGAATTGCATTATGGTCCTAAATATTCTGATTTTCATGTAGTTATAATAGGATTAATGAAATAGTTTTAATGGTTCAACATTGATATTATGAATTTTAGTTCATTTTATATTAAAATTTGATGCACTGACTTTTGGGACTATTGTTTCATGTATATAATATGGTAAAAATAATAGGTTATACCTATGTATCATCTTGGAACCATTAGTTCTAATCTGCCCTCTCACTAGAAACGATTCAGGAGAAAAGAATTAAAGGTTTCTTTAATTTATAGAGCATTGAACTTCTGGGAACTATTGCTGACTTCTGCCTCAAAATTACATCATTAATAAATACTATACAGCTGATGCTGCAGCTGAATTTTTGATCATTAAATATTCCATTTTTTTTTTTAAATGGAGGAAAATTTACCTTAATATCAAAGGCTCCTGGCTGACCCACTTTGTTGTAAAGCTCTAGCTGGTTCTTGACAGGTGTTACCCACAATATCACCTGATTGAGCTGCTGATCAAGTTCAACAAAATCCTTTAGCAGAATCTCTATTTCCTTTTGTTTTTCTGGAAGATCTTTGGACACCTGAAAAAATACCAGAAGTCATTGTTTTAGTGAAAAAACCACAAGCAAACCACAAAACAATTTGATGCTATACATATATACATTCATATCAAATGTTAAAATACAAGTTTTATATACCTGAAGAAAGGAAAGAGATAGTAGACCCAACAATCAAATTATTATGGCAGGTATCTTGCAATTGAAACACAGTCTGTCCTAAAAAACCCAGCAAAATACGAAAACACACATACAGAAATCTAAAATAAAACTTAAAAAAAATTCAGACCTTACCATCAGGCTCTTCAGTAATTTTTAGTAAAAAAAAATGTTATCTCAGTATACAAAATTGTTTTAAAGCTCAATTTTTAATCAGGAAAAAAAATTAAAACATGAAATTGATCACTTGAATTATAGCTAACCTTTTTTGATATCTTGAATGTAGATATTTATAAGCATGTGTTTTCTTATAAGGTGTTTATTGTTGGCAATTGAATCCATATATGCATAAGCAGATGCACACAGTGAAGAAAAATAATGAAATGTATCATCAATTCAGATCAGGCAACTTGGTTCTCTGATTTGTATTCAAAGCAGTCAGATTTATAACTAAGCACATTCTTCTATGCCAACAATATTAGAAATTAAGAATCAGTGAATGCCACAATTCAAATCCAGCCGTGAAGCACTTTGGAGTAAATGGTAGAAACATCACTTGGAGGAGCAGACTGGCAATAAATAAACCAACACAAAGCTCTGTGCTCTCCTTCCCAGAGTGTTCTTTCTCACTAGAGGTGAGGTGTCACAACACTACACAATGGGCAGCATTGCAAACGTACACTGGGGGAGAAACCATCTGTACTTGGAAAAAAAAAATTTTTACCAAAGTGATCCTCTTGAAAGTGGTAAAACATGAGATTGCTGAGACATGCAATATAAAATACATTCCCTGTAAAGTTAAGCAGCATTGATGGTAGCATTACTATCATATTGCCTGGCTTCAGAAGTATTAGTGCCCTGTACTTCTAATCCCTAATGATGAAATTTTGCAGAAGACAATAAATCCAAACTCAGAGTCATGTAAGCAGTGAGTGACAATAAAGCTAAACCACCACCTGCCAGGAGAATGCAAGGAACAGAACTGTCTCATGATGTGTACGTTTCTTTAAAAATTTGGTGTGAGAATACTGGTTTATAGGTACTAAAATAATCCCTCTACACAATCCCTGCATGTGATTTTTCAAACTGAGTGCAAGGGATATTTGTAATTCAAGAATTTGATTGGCCATATATTATATTGCCTCCATTGTTCAGTATAGCCACCTCATAGCATCCTGTTTGATAAAGACTGATCCATGAAGTAAATTACTTTTACTATCTTCCTGAACTTTTAAAATATAAGAAAAGGTCTGCTTTTCCAGAATAGCCCCAGAAAAGAAAGAAAACAATTAAAAATGCATTCATTTCCCTTATGTGTTAACTCCAAATTTATGCAGACCTTGGCCTCATTTCATACAAGATTGGTTTCATCTTTCTTACAACTTTTGAATGTTAATCTCTAATGTTTACTAGCTTTAATATTAATGTAAATAAGTTCCACAGAAATACAACTGAAAGCAAATAGGTAGTCCTAGGCAGATAAAAATCCAAGCTGATTTCCGAAGATCTGAAATTTAAATTAATCTGCTTCCAATCAACATTGATCAAGTATTTTGGGTGTAACAAAGGAGAGAGAAAGAAAATTTTTAGAGGTTTTGGGTGGAGGAAGAGAAAGGGGGAAGTATCTTATATACTAAGATATATTCCATCCAGAACAGCAGAAGATGAATGATTAAGTTTTGGTGGCAGGCTGTACTTCAATCACTGTTTTCAAAACATTTATTTATATCACCTATGACAAGATATAAACTGTAATTTAAGTAAATGCAGCCTCTTCTTACAAATTTTCTCCTGCTCTAAAATTATATCACAAATATAGGATTATAACATTTTTAATATAAAAATAAGGAAATCTGAATCAGTAAATATGAATCAGTTAATTGTATATGGTAGTGTCATCTAATTTTACCACAGAGATATAAAGAACAGCAGTAAATAATTAAAGAACTTTTACTAACTCAGGGCTACAGGTAAGCATTTAACAAGACAATTCCTTGTGAAATCCAAGTAATGTGTCACATGCCATTGTGTGGGAATCAGAGCCTTAGATTCTGGTTATCAGAGATTTAATTTGCTAGCTCATTGTGGTCTGTTTGTGGTTTCTTTGTACGCCCTGGCATAAAGCCGTCAAGCTGGCTAATCAAATTAGAGCCTGATGAGTTTAAGGTAATTACAAGTCTGCCTATCAAGCCAAGGTACTGTTGCAGACTTTCTCTTGGGGAACAGCTTGTTTCCTGAGCTAATTCTGAAGATCACCAGAAGTATAAATTGGAAAACCTCCATGGAGTAATGGACATGGACACAATGACTGGCTGTTCAGATTTATGCCCTTTCTGTAGCAGAGGAGGACATGTGGAGATAGGGCCTTCCAGAATTTTCCCTGTGTTACTCACAGTCCTTCCAGCTTGCTCTTCACAGCTCCAGGAGCTGCACCCCTGAGCTGGGATTACAATGCTGGTGGGAGCTACAACAATCCCACAGCTGCTGTTTCTGGGCTCTCTGAATGAGTTCCTACAAGTTCTGGGATGCCTCCAGGGATGAATGAGCATCAGCTAGTGTCCCACTTCAATACTCTCTTTTACATTTTCGCTTTGGGCCCCATCCTCCTTTTATTCATTTGTTTTCTTGGGATAATTATGCAGTGTTTACTGACTTCCTTACCCTTTTGTATCCTATGTCTTTCCCTCCTATTTAAGAAAGACTGCTAAGTTTTGTCAGAGGATGGCTGATGTTCTTTTCTAAGAGTGACAACCAATAGGAACAGTGGCCATAACACCCACAGGGAAAACATGAAATGTTTTCTCTAGGGTCTGCCTAGTAAGGCATCACTACAAATTAAAGTAAGGAAAGCCACTGAAATGACTTGTATATATTATATTTCAAGTGACTGATGCCTGATTTCAAACATCACTTCTCTCTCACAAATCAACCTCTTTCCCTGTTTTGCTGAAATAACCAAAGAGAAAACAATGCCATTATTACTCAGCTGTTTGAGAATATAGATAAGGATGTGCATCTCTCCAACATGTAAATTTTAAAAAAAATAATATGAAGACTTTTCTTAGTGGTAAGTGCAGAGCAAAGAAATCCTGAATCCCAACATTTTAACAGCAGTGAAAATATGTCAGCTTCTTTCCTACTAAAGTGCCCCTTTCTCTTGCTATCTGCCTCACCAAACTCTTACAGGACAGCAGTCATAAATGGATCTTATTTTAAGGAATCAGAATGGATTAAAATTTAGCTATCTCGATATGCATAACAAGATTAAGCTGCAATAAACAAGAGCAAAAGTATGTTGTGGAATATTGGTGAAAACTTTCAAAAATGTTATTTTTGTATGTCCTCCTTGGGAGGGTCACTTGGATATACAAATCACTTCATGTAAATGGGCCTCAAATATAAGATTACTGATCGTATCATGTTTAAAAAAAATCAAATTGTTTGCAAAGAGAAAAATGAAGCATTCTGTATGAAGAATTGAGGAAGTTTTCTGCATGAAATTTTTTGCTTACTGAAGGTAAATCAAGCAGTAGCTTCTTCTTTACCATTCAATTTCTGAAAAAAGAGCATAACTACACCGAAAGCAGATTTGATGTCATCCAAAGGAGGACTTGGATAATAAAGAAATAACTGAAGTAATAACAACCATTAAATAGAAACATCAATCCAGACTTATTGATAAATCATAACTGACACTTCCATAGCACTTGTAAGGTGATTACATGAAACAGAAATTCTTACAGCCGCTGTTCAGAAAGTTTGAACTGCTCAAAATCACCATCCCTAGAGCATGTACTGAATAATGATTTAAAATGGAAGAGGGAAAAGTTGATTTATATGCATCATTTCTTCATGAAAAACAATCAGTGTACAAAAGAGTTTCATAGAAGTTCAGTTTAGGATGCCATTTAGTTAATTAACTGAGCCATTTGCATTAGCAAACTCAATATTGACTTTAAAACAAAATCTATGTAATTCCTTTAAACTCATAAATATTAATGAGCCACAGTGTCTCTGACAAAGTTGGAGTAAAGACTGTATTATTAGAGGAAGATTAAAGCAGGCTACTAAAAATGTGTATATAAGATTTTATTTGCTAAATATAGAAGAATTTTATTTGCTTTGTATCTAGCATTTCATGTTTCCTTGCAAGACTCCTAGGACCCGACCTTGGCAGGTGTTTATTTGGTCTTCTTTTTTCAAAAACTTCTCAATGGAATATTTGTAATGTTTTCAAGTTTCATTTTTATTAGAAAATCTTTTTTTTTTTCCCCCATCAATGCAGAAAACTAAAGCAGTCAAAACAAACAATGCCCCAAACAATTTTATGCTTCATCTGGCTGTCTAGATTTTAAAAAAGCAAACAAACATATTCCCCACCCCAAAGATTTGCTTTGTTTTTCTTCCATGGTAATATGATCATGTATATCACAGTCTTTGGAATATCTGTATTTTTATATGTATTACTTGAAACTAATTGTCATTCATTCTGCTCTCCACTCCACAATTCTCCTTTGTCAAGGACATTTTTGAGCACAAGACCCTCCACCTTAAATCTCTGCTAAAAAAATCTAGTCTAGGAATTTATTTTCTTTATCTTTTTTTCTTACTCAGTTCCTGAAATCTAAAAGCTGCCACAAAGATCAGTCTAGTTCTTTCAGTAATTCTTAATGAAGGATATTCTGACTGGAAAATTATTTTAAAAGAAATGTAAAATGCTCCAAATGTCCTTTCCCTGCTTTACAGCAGAAAGTACCATATATATCCCTCAGGTTACACATAGTTCTGTGAGGGACTGCAGTGGCTGAGGACTTAAACTTAGGACTTTGCACATTAATGCAAAATTGTATAAAGAAACTGTGACC